ATCAAAAATCATATCATATGGTCCTCAATCTCTTGGTGATGAATCTTTCCAAGCTTAAGGTGGCCCTCAGGTGGCAGACCTATTCCTGGCATGGGATGTTTACTCAAAGCCTTTCTAACTCACTAAAAGCTACCCAAGTTTACACTCTGACAGAATAGACTTCAAGAACCCAGTCACCATCGAGGAGGACCTTGGTAGCAAATGGTAGAGATTACAAAGGAATAAACATATTCATGACCTCAAGGAACTGACAACTTAACTGTGAAAATGAGGTGTTAAATAGCCACATAAAACAGTGTTCAAAGAAATTGCATTAAAATAATAGGATCATATATTTAAGGCTAGAAAGGTTACCTAATCAGGTCCCCTCATTTTATAGATGGGGAAATTGTGGTCTAGGGAGGGTAAGAGATTTGCCCAAAGACCTACAGGTCATAGATAAAATTTTAACTAAGATTCTTTGGCTCCAAATCCAACATTCTTTCCACTGCACCATCTTATCCTCCACTAGTATCACCCTTTCACAAGCATACACACCCCATCAACCTCCAGTTCACAAGAGGTAGGTTTCCCCGCCATCACCCTAAACTGCTGCCCTTTCTCCCACAAAGAGGATTCAACCTTAAATCCCAAACTGGTCAATCTCCTCTCTTCAGGCCCCAACCTGTACTCTGATACTGATACCAACCACCTTAGGGGCTTCCAAGACAACTGTACTGATGGGGTAGGTTCAATTTCTCCCTTAGAAAGGGGTAGACACTCTTAGAATCATGCTTCTGGCACGTTTTATTATAGCAAGGAGTATATCATTTCATTAAATCACTCAGTGACGTGATAGAAAGAACATTTGACTTGGGAATTAGGAGACCTCAATTAATTTTCACTTGTATGACTTCAGACAATTGACTTGACTTTTCTGAATTTCAGTTTCTCCACTTGTAAATAAGGATGATGATGATCATGATGATGACAGAGAATTAAGGGTAAGCAACGTTATATAGTGGAAAGACTCTTGGCTATAGAGTCATAGAATCTGATTCAAATCCTGGCTCTTCTATCTATAACTTGTGTAAAATTGGGCAAGTCATTGAAGCTCTCTAGGCCTCAGTTTCCTCATCTACCAAAAAAGGGAGTTGGACTAGATGACTTCCGTTGCCTTCAGCTCTAAATCCAGGGCACTGTGAAATCAATTGTCCTAAGCTTTGGAGGCTCTAAAATGGTCATGGCTGGACTATCATTTAGGGAGTTCAGGAGAAGGCATCTACCACCAGTTAGTGTGTTTGAAAAAACGTCACAGATATAAACAGAATGTAAGCTTCTTGAGGTTGGCTGCCTAATTTTTCATTTCTTCATGTCCAAGATTTATCAAGGGGCTTTGCTCATTGTGGGCACTTGATTGTCCAGAAACCCCTATCACATTCTCACTATCATAAAGGCAAGTTAGGTGGAATTAGGAATTGCCTACCTGGCATTAATACCTCCTGTACCCACCCCAACCCCCCCCTCCACCTTATAAGAATTCCAGCAGTTTACTCTTCAACTTTTTTCACTTTTAAGATTGCCTTAGATGATGGTTTTATCTAAATAAATGTGTTGTATATGGCATGTGGTACAATTAGTCCCTAGTTCTCAGACTGCTCTCTAAATGACAGCCTATCTCATGACAGGAACAATTTTGCTTGGCAGAGCCAAAGAAATACAGCAAAGAGGGTAATTGGAGGTTTCTGATGACTTGATGGACTGGGCCTGATGCCATGGTGGAGTAGTTTTTTCTCAGCTCTGCATCAGTTTGAAACCTTGGCTAAGCAAGGAATCAGTCTGTCCCATTGTCTATTCAAGTGGCATGTCCCCAAGTCAGTCCTTTTGGAGCTATGGTGCCCCCAAACAAAATAGTATTCTACCTGTCTCAGGACTACACAGGCTTCCCTACCAGCAGATCTTCACTCTGGATAAGTGGACTTGACCATCTCTTCTGGTGCTTTTTCCCTCCCATTTCTACCCTCTCCTCCCACACTTCTCCTCTGTGTATGGTCAAGGAAAGAAACAAGAAGGGACACCCACCAGCCTGGGCCATTGTCCACCTACGATTGCCAAAGGATTCCTCCTCCTTAGCTGAGAAGGGGGAGAGATGAGGCTGGGGAGGGGGGCAGCCCTAACATGTGGACTCTAACATCCTGCACCTTGCAGTCAAATAGGCAGGCTTGGGAATCTAATTGAAACAACTAGAAAGCTTCATTTATGGTCTGTATAACTGGTGAGATCTGTTTCTGGTATTTGCTCATCTCCCCTCATCATCTTCTTCCCACTTCTTGTCTTCTTCCTTTGCCAGACTCAGGTCCTAGATTCCATTCCCGCAAGGCCTAATGGTGTGGGCACAACCAGCTAACTCTCACGGAGACACTAAGTGACACTGGGGATCCTTTAAAGACTGAAACAATCCTCTAAAATGTGAAGGGAAGGGGAATGGAGTGACATCAGACACTATGACCAGGATAGAGGGGCTCTTTGGGGACAGAAGAAAGACCTGCTTGTTGGCTTCCTTTCACAATCCATAGGCAACCACCCTCCATCAGAGACCCTGGCACTGCCACTGAAGGGGCGGGGCACCAAAGTGAGGTGTGCTCAAGACAGGACCAGGGGGAAAGGAAGAGACATTGTCACAGTCTGGGGTGGGGCAGGGACAAAGGGGCACAGACACCGAGGAGGCCATATGGCCAGGGCCCCATTTTCTGTCCTACCAAAGAGGGTCTGAAGAGGAGGATTAGGCCACAGGTGTCTCTGTCTGCGTTTCCACTTGTGCATTTTTTATTATTATTGCTTCGGATAGTGTTGAAAAGGCGGACGAACACACTATTACAAAGAGCAAGGCAGGAGGATACAGAAAAATAAAAGATATTACAGTGTAAGCACATTGTTTTTCCAAAACCAAATGTTTTCCAAAGTTCCCCACGAAGCATCAACAAGTCTTTGAAACTGGTCTGTGATCATTGGAATCTGTATAGAGAACTTTACACTATTGATTATAAAAAATATACATACAATATTTATGAAAGTGTGGCGACCAGCAAAAGGTCAAAGAGAGAGAGCCACTTAATTACAAAACTACAGAAACTGTAGCGAAGACGATATTTCCATGGCATTGGGGTAGACGACAGACGTTAAATTCTCAGGCGATCACCTACTCCTGGCCCCAGCTTCGGGACTGATCACTATCCCTCAAGGAGCCAGGGAGGGGCCCCAAGTGCTCCCTATGCTGAGAGGCCCAGACCCAGGAGGAGTTGGAAGTTGGGCTTGGTGACTGTGACTCTTGGCTTGGTAAGTTGGTGTTTTGAAATAAAAATGAGAGCAGCTTGATTTCTGGACAGTGGTAGGGGTCCGTGGCCTCCTGCTGTCCTCTGGTCTTTAATGAAGCCAAGCTAGTTTATTAGACAGGGCCCTGGCAGGGATATGGTGGGAGCAGGAGGAATACGGTAGGCTTGAGCACATGCCAGACTGCAGACCCCATGGGTTTTAGGGAGGCTAATGGGGCATGGTCAGGAAGTTAGCAGCTTTTAGACCTCTTAAAACAACTTGGGAATATCTGAAAAGGGTGTGCAAACATGCACCAAGGGTAAGCATACACATAAAGAAGGTCTAAATCCTTATCTTGTTTATCGTTGTGGGGGGGCAAGTTGATAGGGGTTGCCAGGATGAAACATCATCAAGCAGAAATTTCCTGCCTGATCCAAGGTTTCTTCCCATTAACTTCAGGGAGAAGTAGATGGCAAGGTCCTTGACTGCAGGATTCAATGGCTTTTCCACTCTTACTCCACCATTTCTGGGTCTCATTTTTCTCTCACTTATTACAGGAAAGTAGACCCAGGGGCACAAGATGTTAGCCAGACCATAGCCATCCCTAGGGACGAGTTTCCAGCCCTCACTGGGATGTGTACTTTTGAAATGCAGGTGACCGGAGGGTGAGAATGGGGAGTCATCCTATGGCACCAGTATCTCCCAGATGAGGGAAGGGAAGGAAGTAGCTTCTAATGTCTCTCCCGGGACGGGGGTGGTGGTGAAGAAAGGGGTAGGAAGAGGTTGCTCCAAGGGGACATCAGAGCTTCCATTCAAGGGACAGGAGAGCCCTTCCTCATCCTCAGTGGAGCAATCTCCCATCTATCAGCTGTATCATCTGAACTTCCTCAGCCCACAGGGGAAGGTTGAGGAGAGTGACAATTATGTTGGAAGTGTAGCAACGGTGCTACCCATAGCAAAACAAAGTCACCCATCTCTATTCCTGAGCCTTCCTGCACTTCTCAGCTTCCTGACATTCCATCACCCTGGACCCATGGTCATTCCCCAGCAGAGCTCAGTGCTGTGCTGGAGAAGGCTACGTGCATTTACATGGGGAGGCCATGTCAGGAGGGTCTATATCACTCCCAGGGAGTGACTATTTGCTGCATGGCATGGCTAAAATGTGGCCCTCTCAAAGGAACTATCTTGGGGAGAAGTGGGGATGAGGCTTAGAGCCATGATACCCTAACTCCATGGGCTTCTCCTAGCTGGCACCAGCCTTATCCCTCAAGTATCCATGTGACCTTGGTATAGAATAACAGCTTGGTGTCTGTGATCTATGTTCTCAGACCCAAGGTGGGGAGTTAAGTATAATGCAGATGGTGATGGGGGTGGGGCAGGGAATAGAGCAGTACAGAAAAAAAGATGCCAAGCTTAGACCATGGCTGTTCATGCTATCACGGGAGTTGATTTTACCAGTTTGTTGATCGATATTTTTACCTGGGGCATCTGTTTAGAAAGTTCAGTAGTGGGGGGAGGGGAAGAGAAAGGAAAGAAGCTAGGATTCAGTTGGATCATTCTGTTCCAAACTAGTAAAGAATTTACATCACAGTTTACTCTTTTTGTTGTTACTGTTTTTGGTTGGTTTGGTTTTTTTGAAACCACAAACATTCCAGGACCACACCATAAGAGTTTGATGAATCAGAGTAAGAGAAAGCATAGCCATTGCATAGTAGTAAATGAACAGAGATGGTGAGTTCTTTATTTACAATTGTTGTCTAGATAAAAAAATTCATAAAAACAGATGAATGGACATAAATTATTACCCCCTAATGGGATGGACGGCCAAATGTACCAGGGTATTGTTTATCGTTGAGCACAAACTCCATGCGGCCAGGGACAGAGGGCAGGATGCAGGGGGTGGATGTGCTGGGCTGAGCTTCAACCAATCACGGTCTCCATGTGCCACTGGTTTGGAGTTATTGTTCCCAACAAGAGAAGGCCAAGTGGAAAAGGAGACCCGAGTACAAGACAGAACTTCAGGTATTTGCGAAATTGGATATTACTTTGACAAATCTTCTCATGGACTCCTGCCTCTCCTCTTCCCAGAGTCCGCCCCACTATCGATCTCCCAAACCCACCCAGATTTCTGGTTCCTCTTGGAAAGAAGCCCAGTGTGATATGGGCTTCTCAATTTATAGGAGGCCCCTGGGGGGAGGAAATAGCGCCACATATGAGAGGCTAATCCAAGTCCACAAAATGGTTCCCTAATGGTTAAAGCTCTTTCCCGGGTGAACATGAGCGTTACTAAAGGAAAGAGGAGGTGGTTGGGAGAGCTTTGGGAAAAGAAAATAACTCATTGAAGTTAAGACAGAGAAACTAAATCAGGTTCCAGAACAGACCCATTTCACAGATGTGTAAGTCCAAACAACACCCTCCCCCTTCCTCATTAGTACAGCAGAGAACAGGATTCCCCCTCCCTCCTCAATCCAATACATAAAAGCTAAGGTTAGATTCCACATTTGCAATGTGGAAATGAAACCCTGACTACGTTGGCGTTCTGAAATATCGGCGATGTTTTCATTGCCAGTCTGTTTACAGTTGACATAGGGGCCCTGTTCTCGATTCAGAAAGAAAGGGGTTGTAGGCCCTGCTGTCCTAGGCACCAGCCCCTTGTACAGGAAGGTTTAGACCAGACAGGGGAGCTGACGGTGGACCGGATACATTGCTGTTCTGCCAGCAGTATTCGAAGACTGGCCACCCCAGCTGGGAAAGGCTCTACCTAATCTTGGCCATCTGCACAAAATAATGCTCCTTCTTGGCCAGGATGCAGAGAAGATTTCATCTGGTTTGCCAAGTTCTAGGCTCGGAGGAGGGGCCTGACAGATGGCAGGGTGGGTGGGGTCAGCAGGGCAAATTAATTTCGCAGGTGAGTCGGAAAGTGCTTTGCTTTTCCTTTACACATCTGCCATCACCAACCATGTTATGTATTCAAAATGTCTTTTGCACTGTACAAGTTTATGGAAAAAAGACTGTGTGCTGAAAAGTCTCAAAGCAAACTTTGTATTAAATACAAAAGTTCTTTATGAAAAAAAGCCGTGGCCCACAAAGTGCTTAGCATTCAAGTGTCTGACGTAGCAATTCAAGAAGCTTATAGTAAGTTGATTATTAGTGCTGATACCATCCTGGGGGAAAAAAAAGAAAAGAACTACAAAAACCTTTGCTCACCTGTGATACTGTAGGCTTTCAGAATGGCTTCCCTTGCAGGAAGGCAGGACACACTGTTAAGTGGCTACAGTATATATTGTGATTACAGGAAGACAAGCTTTGTTTAAAAATCACACAGAGTGCATTTTCAATATATATATCATAAAGTTCATTCAGATTTGAATAGTGCAGGGGGGTAGGATGGGGGGGAATGGATAGTTTTCTTCCAAAATTAAAAAAGAAAAAAAAAGAAAGAAAAGCAGCAAGCTGTAGTGATTCTCATTCAAAATGCCAACAGCTTGTAAGCTGCGAATAATAAGAAAATCAATTTCTAAATGACTAACTAAAAAAAAAAATTAACACAATAGAGTTCACAAATTTCAACACTACTTTGATCTCCATATAAAGCCAAATATAACTTATTTTTCAAATGCTCTCAATAAACTCAAAGGAGTTTCATAAAGAGGAGTCTTCCAAAAAAAAAAAAATTCCACGGAAGCCATCCTAACATAATGGCTACCCGAGGTGGCCTGTGGCCAGTGAGGGGCATACTGAAACTGGGCTGAGCAATTTATTTATTTATTTATTATTTATTTTTTACAAAAAATAAACCTGATTGTTGCACGTGGGTTTTTTTTTCCCCCGACAGAGTCAAGCTTCCAGTCCCATGACCCCATGTCTGTGGAGCACATTCCTACATCCAATATGTTATATTTTGGCTTCTTCTGTCATTCACCAGCAGGAGCTACGTTACTGAACAAAAAAAAAAGAGCAGGCAAAAAATCAGAGCCGAGCTGTCATAAAACATCGAGGATGCAATCTGAGAGGAGTATCTGGTGAGCTGAGCAGTCCTTCTGCTTTCTCAGCAGGAAGTGTTCTTAACCCTACAAATAGTGAAGGACGTTTATCTACAGGTTTGTAAACAAATTACATTCTTCTTTTAAGACATAAATAAGTTAAAATAGAGCAATTTAAGCAAAAACAAGGCAACATGCCAGCAAAAAAACTTTATATATCCATGTATATAGATATACATATATATCTACCTATCTATATGGACGTATACATTCTCGATGAGGTATACGTTGATATAGATACAAAGAAATGGATATAATCTCATTAGTGTCTATGAAGTTCTTCTGTCCCATTGGTATAACCCTACTGTGCAAGGTAAGCTTCCGCAACTTCAAAAAGTTATTTAAATTAATCTCTACAACTGAGACCATGCCGCACAAGCAGTTCAAAAAACTCACAGACCAGTGAATTGGATAAATAAGCCTCAGAAAGGAGTCTTTTTTTTCCTTTTTTTTTCTTTTTTGCAGTTTCTGCCTAAGGAAAAAAAAAATAATAAACAAGAGGAGGACCGGAAGAGTACAGTATGTCCATGCAGGAAAGTGGTGGGTGGGTTTGGTCTGTGTTTGGGCGGGCAGGAGCAAGAAAGGGCACGTCAGGCAATTGCTCACTCCCAAGAACCCACATCAGGGATCCCGTCACTTGCCTCAAAGGGACAAAGAGCTCAAACAGCTTCTCAGCCAGAGAAAGGTTCTATTTCGGGGGAGATATATTTCTCTCCCACTTTGTCTATTTTTATTTTCTTGGTGCTGTTTCATGGTTGAGTTTTCTGGGTTGGTTTGTTCTGAGTTGGTGGTGGTGATGGGGTTTTTTTGTTTGTGTTTTGTGGGGGGGGGGTTGTTTTGTTTTGTATATTTTGTTTGTATTTTTTTTTTGGAGATGTGAATATTTCCCGCTAAAGCGATGTCTCCAGGCTGTGTATAGGACTCCCTGGGCTCGAAGAGGTAGCTGATTTGCTCGTGTCAGTGGTCAGATTGATCCCGCTATCGATTGCACTGTTGTTCTTGTTTAATGACGACGGCGGGCTCGAATTTTGCTTGAGAGCGGCATCTTCTTCCAGGTCAGTGTCATCAATGAGGGGGATGTGGGGCTGAGAGTCTTCTATCCTAAATTCAGGATGAGTCATGAAGTTATGGATGGAGGTTCTAGATTCAGGTTTTTCTAAACCTTCATAGAGAGAGCTACGGAATGCCTTCACGACGCGGATCTGGAAGGGAAACATTGGGAAATGGGTCAGAAGCACCAAAACTCCAGGGAGGGCTTAGGGTAGGGGGATGGTTTAACAGGCTGAGGGGGGCCTTTGGAGGAGCACAGCAGAAGGGGTTAGGGCACAGCAGATGGCTGGAATCCAGTCGCTGGATGTTAGGAGCATCAATGGGATGGGGTGAAAGGAATGGGCTCGAGTTTTGTGCATTCACTTGGGGGTTGTGTGTGTGCACATGTGTGCAAACGTATGTAACTGCAACATCAGAATAGTTCGAGTCGCAAACCATCAAAGAGCTGATGGGAAGCAGGAGTTAAAGAAAGCATAAGTCCACTCAGGTGGGTGCCCATACCTAGTAGTAAAAGACCAAGCTGTGTTAATTTCAATGCACAGGTCGAAACCATGCATGGGGCTGGGAGGGGGCAGGTTCAGATGTGAGTAAAATAGGGTCGGCTTAAAAAAATAAACCAAACCTTTTTTTAAAAAAAATAAATAAACCAAACATTGTTTTAAAAGAAACTATACGACATGTAACGTATCACACTCCACACACAGAAAAGAACAAAATATTGAGACAGTCAGATGGGCCAAGATGAGAGACAACACACAAGAGCCAAACTGACAACCAGAAAACCTCCAAACTCAAACGAGACGTAAAGAGTTTTCAGAGAAGAAAACCAGAGGCAGCCAGAAGCATGGGGGGGGGGGGGGCAAGCAGACAACATTCAGGGGAAGAATCATGCCACAGCAGGAGGGAGTTTGGTTATCACACAGACACACAGAACTGCCACACCAATGCTACGCTTGGAAGCCTGGACAATGTGAACAGAGATTGGTCTGTTTCCAACTTGGTCTTTGCCTTCATGCATTTGGGAGGTAAACACTCGAGTATAGACTCAACATTCTGGCCTTTCATTTCAATTGCTTTGTAATTATTTAGTCACTTCCTTTTTTTTTTTCTCCTTCGGCCAAATCCTTTACCCAGCCCCAAGATATCATTCTGGGGATTGCATAGGACTGAATCGCATTCTTTCAATTTTTGTGTCTGAGATCTGAACTCTGCTCATCAAGTTAATTTTTTTTTAATTTTAAAAATTTAATCTATTGTTTACACCACCACTGTATTTCTTAATCTCCTTAAGGTAATTTGTCAACAATACCTTTTGCTCTCAAGTTATCTGTGAGTCAGACTCTTCCAAGGGGTCAGCTTCTCTCTGGTTAATAAAAATCAGGCCTTTGGGGAAGTGGCATCAACTCTTTCTGGCCATGAAATGGACAGTTCAGGGCCAAGTTAAGTCACAGGTGTGAGTGGATGGGGAAGGGGGTGTCTGGGATGAACTTTCTTTCACTTGTAATTTGCCTAGAAGGGCCAGCCTTGATTTCTTGATTCAGGACTTGGGTGAACTGAATGCAAGGTAGAATAACAGACTATTAGAGCAGGGAGGGGACATTGGAAACCATTTTGCCCAAGCCTTTCCTCTAAGGGAGATAGAAACTGAAGCCCAGAGGGCCAGGGAAATGAGTTGTCCAAAGTCACAGAGCTAGTTAATGGTAAAGCTGGGATGGGAACCCGAGTCTCTGCCCAAGATTCTCTTTCTACCGCATTATGCTGGCCTTTAGGGAGAATAACCCAGTGAAGTGAATCTTTAAAAATGCACATTATGACTGTGTATCTTATATGAAAGAGAACAGCAAGCAAAGGACCACATCTAAGGCATCATCCAATATCATATACATATGTCATCACAACTAATGTTTGCTGACTTGTTCTCCAGAGCTCTTTCTAGGCAAACTCTAAAACAAAGATCCACCCTTAGCAAATCTAGTTTTTAAGCATGGAAATCAGCCTCAGAGACCTACTAGTTGTGTGACCCTGGGCAAGTCACTTAACCTCTATTTACCTCAGCATCCTCAACTATAAAATGGGGATAATAGTACCCACTTCCCAGGGATGTAATATGGATCAAAGTGAGATAATATTAGTAAAGCACTTAGCACAGTGCCTGGAACATAGTAGACACTATATAAATGCTAGCTTTTATTATTATTATTGAGCTATCAATCCCAAATTACTCTCTGTATCAGCTTACATTTAAATAAGTGCATTACGTTATGAAGCATTTTCCTTACAAGAATTTTGTGGGATGATGCAAATGTCATCTCCATTTAATGATAATAATAATAAACCATAATAGTAGCATTTATATAGTTCTTTAAGATGTGCAAAGTATTTTACATACATTGTCTCACTTGAACCTTATAACTCTTATAAGCTGTTATCTTATAAGCTCTGAGAGATGGTTATTTCCTCATTTTATCAATGGAGAAACTGAGGCTAAGAAGTTAGGTGATTTACCCAGGGTCCCACAGCTAATAAAGTGTCTGAGGCAGGATTCTAACTCAGTTCTTTCTGACTAATTTCATTGTCCTACTTGCTAGGTTACCTAGCTTTGAGAAGAAAACTCAGTCACAGAAAAGTAAAGAGACCCACTCATGATCAAGAGGTTTATCAGTGGTGGAATTTGGACCTGAACCCAGAATTTCTGACTCTAAGGTCAGTGTACTTTCTACAGCACTGTGAAAATCAAATCAATCAATCAATCAATCAATAAGTCAGTCAGCAAACACCCATTAGGCACTTGGTATCGGTCAGGCACTCTGATATTACTTTGGGCAAGTCTCTTCTGTTCTATCTGGGTCTCAGTTTCTTCGTCTGTAAACTAGAGGGCTAGACGGGATCATTCCTGATAATGAATGCCTTAGGAGTGATTGTTTTCTAATCTTGTTAGAACGGGAGCATTCTGTCTTTGGGGGAAATGCTGTCATTTTCTCAGTTCATTAAAACTGCTTTGTGTCTTGAGATGATTGAGGCTTTAAAAAAAGAACTCCAAGCCTTCTTCCCTACCACCAAATTAGCTCAAGACCAGCCCAGCCAATTGCACAGAGTGATTGAAGAGTTCATGCAGGAGGATGGGGGGGGAATGGAATGAGATTGTCTCTAAGACTTTGGGATTTCCGAGTCATAATGTGCTTTTTAGACTTCATGGCAATGTAGAAATATGAGGACCTCCACCCCGAAAAAAGGGGTAATAGTGTTGGACTGTTTCAATGGGAGGCCTGTGTGGAGGCAGGGGAATGGATGAGATGATACTTTCAGCCCTAGATTAAGAGGTTCTAGTTAAAACATAATAAAGACTTATTTACTGGGCATCACTGGATCCTGAGCTCTCCTATATGAGTAAATTTTCTAGCTAACTAGAAGATTAAAATTTTAACTGCTACAACTTTGCTTCAACTACTTTTGATAAACTTTTTTTTTTTCTTTGGTACGTTGCATGCTTTCCTGACTTCTTACACATCATTTGATCCTTCCTGGATATCTCAGGGTCATTATTAGGCATATAAGTTATTTTACCCCACAATAACAGATAGCCTATTTCTGTGTCTGCTTTTTAAATTTGTAAGCTCTTTTACAATTAGCTGTCAGGTGTCACTGTCGACCCCATTTTATTTTTTTGTTAATCTAATGTAGGAAGGGAAATTACATAATGAAATGTGTTTGAATTATCATTTTTCAGTTGTGTCCAACCCCCATTTGGGGTTTTCTTGGCTAGAATTAAGTATTGAGTAAGACTACATAGTTTCTGAAAGTAGAAGGGATTAGCTTTAGTGTCGGTACTTTGTTAAGGGCTGAGATCAGTACTCAGGAGCCCTTCTGGCTTTGGGATTGGTAGCTATGTTTCAGAGCTTGGTGGTTACCCCAAAATCTGACTTCAGGATAACCAGAATGCTATACAACTAATTTGAAGAAAAAAAAATTCATTGTTAGCTGCCTGTTCTACTCAAGGACTGAGTGGACACAGCATTTTCTGACTCTGACCCTGTGCTAGGTAATTGTGAAGTTAAGGAAGGGCCAGAGCTCCCATCCCTGTGGGCTCCTTGTGAACTATCTGGAGTTTGGCCTGGTCTGCAACTGACAAAGCTGGCTGGCAGGTGGGAAGGGGATGGGGAACACACACAATGAGTTGCAGGCCCCTCCTTCCACAGGGATGGAGACAACATAAAGAATGAATTGCTCTGGACAAGACTGTGGGGACAAGACTTTAGGAGCATCCTGCCACGCTGGCTCAAGTCTCCACTTCGGTCTTCTCCAAGGCTGAAATGAAAAAATACGGGAGGAAAAAAAAGGGAAAAAAAACCTTTCAATCTCCCTCCCACATGCTGAAATTCAGATTTAAATTAAAAATATATATATATATATATTATATATATATATATATATATATATATATATATATATATATATATATATATATATATATATATCTTGCATGGGTCATGGGGTTAGGGGCCAATTGAAGACAGAAGAGAAATTTCAGGGCTTTCTAATTTTCCTTTGGTCATCCAGAGAAATTAAAGTGAGACTCAACCCTTTCATCTGCAGTGAAATACATCAGGCCTCTTCCAGGCTCAACAGGGAGCGTTTGAGATTATACTCGAATGTTTACCCGGCTTCAAGGAAGCCAAGTGTCTTGGGATTGGTTCACATTCATGTCAGGCTCAAGTTAAAGACTCACAACCTCTTTTAATTTCACTCTCTCTTGCTGAACTCTCAGTCCAGGGTTCTCTAGCCCTCTAGGGAAACAAACACATTGAATATTCAGACAGTAGAGAGGAGGAGGGCACTGCAAAAGCAAGTCATTTTTCACGCTAGCGAAAGATCCATAAGTGATTAGTACCAAAACGCAAACAAGAGGTCCAATTTTATTATTGTATTTTATTTTTTCCCAAGAGATGCCAACTCTTTGCCCTAGCTACACTCTGAATCGGGAGTCTTAGTGGGGAGAAGGGGGCAGGAGGGATTCTTGTTCATCTGGTGGGTTGGGGCTTTGAGGAAGGTAACCGAATGCCCTGTAGCAGAGTTTCCTTGTGCTAGTTTCTAACTTAGTGTATTCCAAGGTATTCCAAGGTAATCAGAATCTGATTAGAAACCTCTAAAATGG